CCGAGCCTCCTTCCACGCGTGCACCGCCCCCCCGTGCCACCAAACTACGGGCTTGCACACCCCTGGGCACGAGCACGTGCGAGCCCCACCCGCGACTTCAGGGCTTTTATTGTTGGGGCACCCCCGCGGGGTCAGCCCGCCCCCCGGGCAGCCCAGGAACACCGCTCCCTCCCCCCAGTCAAACTCCAAATGACGTAAAATCACACGACCGATACGCCCTTGCCCCGGCTTTCTAGGGTGGCCAATCATTGAAGACTGAAGTGATACGTCACAATGGGAGGGAGGGTGCTAGGCGCGCGTGACTTAGCGCCGAGCGGGAGGTTGGGTGTCCCCAGCGATTGCCCGCGGCGGCCGGCAGGGGGCAGCCCGGGCCTGCGCTGGGCTGCGGCTGGGGGGCCGCGGGCTCCTGGGCGGGCAGGATCAGGGCGGCGTGTAATCGGCGTGGGCAGGGCCCTCCCCTCCCCCGGGTTGACCGGGCTGCACGGCTCAGTCCTGCGTGGGCGGGAGGGGGGCAGGGACACAGCCCTTGCTCTCCCTCTGTGCGCGTTTTGCAGGCTGCTGTACTGGGGACTGTCCCCGCGCACCTCTGCTACTGCCAAACAGGCAGAAGTCTACTTCCCCTTGGACATTTGTATGGCAGCTTTCTAGCCCCTGCGCTGGCATTGTTGGCAATACTGCATAGTGATTCAGCTGGCCCTGCAGTGGGTTGCATAAGCACGCACACATAGACTGGGCTTGCACAATAGGCTATGAATTGGCCTGCTACATGTACATACCTATGCATAAATCAGGAGAAAGCATGGAGAGGAGGGGCAGATGCACCTGTGTTTTAACCGCAATAGCTGACTGTTTAGGACCATAGGCAACACATAAGGAGTCTGGGTGGGCACGTGCCCCCCCCCCCCTAAGGTTGGCCACTGCTGAAGCCACTGTTGACTTCTGCAGTTGGTCCCCTTTGCCCCCCCCCGCTGCCAACACCACCGCTGGTGTCTGCAGGCGGTCCTCACTCCCTGCCCACCGCTCACCATCCCTCTCTCCCACTGCTGCCAACACTGCTGCCGGCATCTGCAGGTGGTCCCTGCTGCTGCCTACAAATGGGGAGGCACCAGTCGTTCATGTTTAGGGCACTTACTTGGGATGCTGGAGACCTGGGTTTTAGGACCCACCTGCTAACCTCCTTCTGAGGGGGTTTGAAACTGTATTTCTCTGTCTTCCCACCAGAGTGCACTACCACACTATGGGTCAGGTATCATCCAGACCCAGCTTCAGCAGCTGCCCCCTGAGTAGCTGAGAGGGAAATGCATAGGGCCAGAAGGAAGACAGCAAGGCAGAGTGTGTGCAGTTTTGTGAAGTACCTGCTGCCCTGGAAAACAGGAGGGCCTGGGTTCCAGCCTGGGCCCTTGCCTGCAATGGAGCAGAAGTTTCATTCCCTCCATCTTACCCACTGCCAGTTAAATGAAAGGGGCAGAGTGATTCAGCAGCACAAGTGAAATGAGAAACTGAGTTTCCCTACTGCCTACAGGGTGAGAGTGATGCAATGGACTGAGAGACTGACAGAATGGAGGATGTTCATTATGACATTCCTGTTACCTTTTTGGTTTGGAGCCACAGGGTTGAAAGCTTCCCTCGTGTTGTGTTTGGGGCTTGCATGACAGACACTACAGAATACTCATTCATCTTTCAGGATTATCTGAAAAGGCCATCGGTGCTCAACCCCTGGCCCATGGGCCAAATCTGGCCCATGGAGCCATGCCCTCTGGTTCCCGGGGCTCCCCAAGGGTCTGGGAATTTGAGGAAGTAAGGTAGTGGAAGTGTTAATTGCTGCTCCCCTGCTGCCAAATTTTCAGACTTGTGGGGAGCCCCACAGGCTGGATAATGTGGCTCTGTATGCCAGATCAACCCAATGCGTGGCCAGATCTGGGTGTGCAGGATTGGGCCCATGGACCAACCCCATGTGCTGACCCTGCATGGCATCTGGCCCTCAGACTGACCCTGTGCCACTCATCTGGCCCCAGATGCTGCTGCGAAAAACCATAGGACAACAGTGGATTAATGTTAAGGGTAAAAAAAAGCCCTGTTCCCACTACAGCTTGTCAGGCCAGTCTTACTTACAAACTTGCTGTAAGATGTGTGTGCCCTGGAAAATTCAGGCCATTACTTTTCTCACAGTTTAGGAAATTAGTTTACCAAGAGGTCCTCAGGGATTATTCTTCAGAACCTTGTCTTTTGGACTTGTCCAGAAGTTTGTCTCTCTGGTACCTTGCTGCACTTCCAGAGATGAGGGAACGTCCTTCAAGTACTGAGATGGATGAACTGGTTAACTGTATGGCAGACCCAATTATATGGCAGAGCATGTAATGTGACAACTGTTCCCAGAAAAGCTGCCGAGGATCATAGGAGCCCATGGAATCCTTTTTTAACTTCATATTTGGGATCAGCTGTTGAGTGGCCAGAATTATGGACATGAGGCTTCTGGATTTTGTCAGACATTGGGGGACAATGGACCTTCCTCAGTAAGGAAGAATGGACTTGTTCTGAGTGTCCCTCTTAGTTTTTAATGCAGTACTACTTTTACGTTATCTAGGGCAGAGCTGCCATCTGGCCTGGTCTCAGGCATGGCCTGCCTCACTTCAAGATTTAGTTCAAACACTTTGTGCAGTTATTCTGTTGACAACCAGATGATCAGGAAAAATAAATGTCTGTGAGAAACTCACCGGCTGCACCCTGGAAGACAAGGATCAGAAGGAACTTCATGGTATGTCTGCAGGTAACACTGACTGCTATGAGGAGAGCACATACTGTGGAAATGTCATTCTGCGTTATCCTTCTTGGAGGGACTTATCTCCCCAATCCTAGGGTAAGACCAGCTTGCTATTTTCCCAGGTGTTGCATCCAGCTGGGTAAATCTAGTTACCTTATCATAGTAGGGAGGTAGTGACTGGAAGTGCTTAAGTGACAGAAGCAAGCTTTTTTTCTAAATGAAAATATGAAGGCCCACTCCCTAGTTTGACTCCAAAAGAGCTCTCTTACTCAGCACTCAACATCATTTTCAGATGCTGAAGTCACTGAATGCAATCATACTTCATCTAGGAGAACAGGTGCAAAAAAACTGTTGCCTGGATCCTTTGTGTGTCTTCATTTGGGCATGAAAAGTTCATAGAATCATAGAAAATAAGGGTTGGAAGGGACCTCAGGAAGTCATCTAGTCCAACTGCTGCTCAAAGGAAGACCACCCCCAACTAGACCATTCCAGCCAGGGCTTTGTCAAGCCCTTAAAAACCTCCAGGGGTGGATGTTCCACCACCCGTCTAAGTAACCTGTTCCAGTGCTTTGCCATCCTCCTAGTGAGAAAGTTTCTCCTAATAGCCAACCTAAACCTCCCTTGCTGCAACTCAAGACCAGTTTTCCTTGTTCTGTCATCTGTCACCACTGAGAACGGTTTAGCTCCATCCTCTTTGGAACCACCTTCAGGTAGTTAAAGGCTGCTATCAAATACCCCCTCAGTCTTCTCTTTTGCAGACTAAATGAACCCAGTTCCCTCAGCCTTTTCTTATAAGTCATGTGGCCCAGCCCTCCAAACCATTTCTGTTGCTCTCTGCTGGAGTCTCTCCAACTTGTCCACATCTCTTCTGTAGTGGGGGGGCCCAAAACTGGACACAGTACTCCAGATGTGGCCTCACCAATGCAGAATAGTGAGAAATAAATACTTCCCTCGCTCTGCTGGCAACGTATGCTGTTAGACTTTTGGCAACAAATGCACACTGTTGACTTACATCCAACTTATTGTCCATGTGCCCGCCTCTGCTCCAAAAGGCATT